ACCTACTAGGTAAAATGTTCCCAGATGCAAGAAATACTTGACCCAGAAGAGTCATTACCAGATAAATACATTATTTTATTCTGAATCCTTTTAGTTAACAAAATAAAAGCAGCAACCTGAAAAACAACAAAACTGAAAATGAAGGAATATCCTTACTGCAAAAACTCAATAAACAGACGAGTCTTTTGCAGCATTCAAAATGTTCTCTGGTTGAATAATTAACCAGCTTGCATTTCACTCTGTTTTGGTATTCACATAAGAGCATATTTAATATTCAGACTGAAGTCCAGGTTTTGTACATACATTGCCAGTAATTTAGCAATCCTTTGTTTGTTTTATGGTTACAGCAAGAACCTGAAGAAAATGAAAATAATGAGTTTTACATTTTTACTTTTCTAAGTCCCTGCAACATAAAAAAAAAACACATTTTAACATACATCTCAAAGCCATCAAAGTCAATTTCATACAACTGCTTAGTTAATGCACACAAATCTTAAGTTAACTTATTTTGAGATAGAGCTGTGGATGAAGAAAATCTTTTTTTTTTCTTTCTTTCATGTCAAAATTGGTCCTATTTTGACAGGCAACTAAGCTTTTTGGCATTCTTACCATGTTTTCTCTGCCTCCCAAGAGTATTCATAGTTTAAGTTTTGTTGTTTATTTAACATTTGGCAGAGGAACGGTTATGAGAAATCAACCATCTGGCTATAAATATGCACAGTGGTGGTGCTGCAATGTTTAAAAATAAACGTTAAATGGCATTAAAATTACATAAATGACATAAAAAAATATGAAAAAAGAAACATGTGAGGGCTCCCTAAGATATAAGAAAAAAGAAAACAAACAGCATTATAATGGATGGAAATGTAATGGCAAGTACATCTGGAACTGTCTATAAGAAATAGAAAGCAGAGATAAAGTTCTTACTATACCTTTTTTTGTTGAAATATTTATAGGGGAAAGATATACTGCACAGGATGAGGGCCTGTAACAATATTTTTTCATTGTGTACTACTAGTGCAGTCTATTGGTAAATAACCATCTTCTGGATGAAAGAGTGCATAGATTCCTACAATCAAGGAAACATGCTCCCATTTTGAACTAACCTATGCAAAGTTTGCATTTTGTGTTTGTGCTTGTGTGGATTTTATCCAGGTGCTCCACTTTCTCTATGCAAACAATCTGTCAACGTGCAGATGGGAACGGGGACAAAGAAGGGATGTATAATAATTACAGCTGTCAGGATATCCAAACCCCAAAATATTTCTCATCAAAATGAATTCTGTCTCATTAAAGGCTCACTAGCTGCTGGAAGCATGTGACTGCATCTAGAGAAGCAAGTGTAAGCTGTTATTATAAGCACCAGGTGTGGATGTGTGTGCTCTAATCTGGACAGATCTATACTTAATTTGAAGTAAGAAAGAACGACCTCCTTGAGATAGCGCTAAGCAACACAAACATAAGCTGGTGTTAGCTGGGCTGTCTGCACATGTAGCTATGCAGCCTGCAGTCAGCTGCTTAACAAGAGTTCTTGTGCTTGTCGGTCTGTGTTACATGCAGTTGGAGATGGCTCTACTCATTCTTCCACTTTTTCTTGCATCTCATATAAAATACTTTATACCTAAGAAAGGTGAGAAATAAAGTCATAAAAAAAATCTATCTAGAAACAAGAAGCCAGCCCACAGGACCAGCTTACACTTCTGAGATTGTGCAGATCCTTTTTTTTTGTAACAAAAAGAAAAAAGGGGGATTATTTACTTTCCACAAAATATAGGAGAAATATCCACTTGATCATTATAGGGTTGTCCTGTGAGCTCAATACTCCTCCAAAATAATCCTTAATGTACTTTAATGACAAAAACGTTTTTAAATTCCATTCATGAAATTCAACTAAATCAACTTTAAATCAGACATAATGTATGAAGTATGATGAAGCAAAAAAATTTGTTCATATTGATATCGTTACAATATGCCATAAAATGTAATTTCAGCTGAAAAAGGGCATTAAAATTAACATTGATAGTAATGGAAAGTACCTCAAATCACAGAAGGACTCGCTGGATGCAAATGGACAAAGCAACAAGACCAGAGAGTGTATTTGCTTCAAACCCCAAAAATTAGAAAGGCAGCAAACAATGTTATCCTCACGTCTCATTGCTGTTTCAGGTCATGAAACCATCAGAATAGATTTTCTATCACACAGTGTGATATGTGATCCACATTATTCATTCCTATCGAGGACGTGCCTGAAGGCTGCAGACGTTTAAACCGGTTTTACTTTCCGCTGCCGCCGTTCCGCACCATACGAGTTCGCATGCAGCCACGACGGAGGGTCGAATCCGTGACCTTTCGTGTCAGAAGCAGAACTCCTCTGTGTATCAATCAGCTAAATGCTCCGACCGCCGAGTCTCCTGTTTTAGCTGAGGCTGCAGGAAAGCTTCGACACAGTACGTGACACATGCATCTGTCTACCTAACAGAAGATGACATGGGAAGAAAAAAAATATATATATATATATAATAATAAAATGTGTCCCGAGGCTTTTAGGAATGCTATGAGAAGCGGACTGGATGATTTCCAAACATGGTGCATTTACATACGTTGGAAAAGAAAATCCAAACAAATGGCTCCCTCTGCCTATTTTAATTCAATTAATGTTGAGTAAATTAAAAGAAGCTGACAGTTTTATTGGGACTAATACCACAGTGTAATCCAACCAGCCAACCCTCTCACTGTGTAATCTTCAGTGTAAACCTTCACGGGCAGGTCTCCTCGTATGAAGCTAAAGCCCATTCCTCAGCATAGCAGTAATCCCACTAAGGCTCTTAGAGAGAGGAGTGATTTTTCTTTTTCCAGAATGAAAGGAAGAGGCTTTATGACTATTACAGGCTCACTGCAGACGAGAGCTAATAAATAAACATCTCACAAATCGACTTAAGATCTCGGGGGTTGCAGAAATTGCAAGCAGGTGCTTTAGAAATCTGACTTGAACTGCAGCTCCATCTGGGAGATCATGACTCATTGCCTCCATGCCCCCCCCCCCTCCCCACCTACCCTTGTTCTCACCGGCATTCCACATTTACTCACACTGACGTTCCAGCACTCCTCCTATCCTTTCCTTTCCAAGTACATCTTGGAACGGAACAACAATCCCAAGCATGTTGTTGAAAGTTCTTTTCTTTTTTTTTTAGTTGTTCATAAGACAAGATCAGTACTTAAAAGGGTTTCTAATATAGAAACATGAGTCTGACATGTTGCACAATATATTCGCTCAGTATTTTGTCAGGGCTGTTTTTGCATACAGCCTGAATGGAGCATCACAAACACAGAAGAGAAGCCTCTCTATGGACACAAAGTCAGGCCAGTTTGCCTGGCATTGAAGCATGGTGACACCACGGGTTTATCCAAGCAGGTATTGGTACTTTTGCCCTTGCATGTAGCTTAAAATAAATCCAGCATTTCCATCTTTTATTTTATTTTTTTTCCAAAAAGACAACAAAGGCTGCTCATGAGTGCAGTTGTAGACACTATTTCAGCAAGAAAATCAATGGTTCACATCCCACCATGTAGTGTATATGTTCTCCATGTTTTTTTTGTTTTGTTTTTTTTTTTTTTCTGAGAACTCTGGCTTCCTCACACATGCATGGCAGGTTAATTAGTCACTCTAAGTTGCCAGTAGGTGCATTAGTGATTGCATGCATTATAAATCTAAGTGCTTTGAGAGCCAAACATTATGTTTAAGCTGTTCTTGATCATTCTTTGCAAGATAATCTGTGTTTGTGGAGACTCTTGGAGAACTGATTCCAGCTGCATAATACTCACAAAGTTGAGAGAATCTATGTCGCTTGTGCATCTTTTACCTTGTTTCCTTCCACTAAACTTTCCATTAATATGCTGGACACAGAACACTTTGAACAATCAGCTCTTTTAGCTATGATGTTTTGGGATTAAAAGACTGTCTGCCAGACTGCTGTCAGGTCAGTAGTTTTCCCCTTGTTTGCATTGACATTTCTTTATTTCTGTTATAATAACAAAAATAACTTGTAATTGGTCTTGTGCAATAATCTAATCTTCTGAAAATTTTGAATTGTGTCTCACGTTTAAGCTTACTTTCTTAGATAAATTAACTTTTTGATTACACTAATTAACAGAGATGCACTTGTACATGAATACTCCAACCTCAGACAAGATCAGAGTTGAGAGAGAGAGAGAGAGAAAAAAAAAGGTCAAGTTCATTAAACGGAGTCTCCTGTTAATACTCAGGGGAAAGGGTGGGCTTGGGAGCAGCCGGTGGCTCAATGATCTGTCATTCTCCTCCTCTCTCATCCACCTATTGACGCACACAGATGAATCGAAATCTCACATTTGCATCCCCACGCCCAAGCGGTATGCAGAGATACGACTCATGCATGCATCCCACTGGTTTACATCCATGATTGCTAAAAGATCCAGCGCTCCTTCAGGAAGCTGAATATGTATGACTCCATCATGTGGAAAAAGCTGCACGACTCCTATGAAGGACAGCTGATTTCATCCGCTGACGTGGCCAGATGGGATGTAATGATATGGGATTTGATCTCCATCTCTTCACGGAGCCAAAAAAAAAAAAAAAAAAAAAAAAAAAAAAAAAAAGAGGCCTCTGATGTCAGATGCAGGCCCGGACTTGACGCAGCGAGTCAAAATGTACAGTAAATCCCATCCTTAAGGATTGACAGTGAGATTCATGTGAAGCACCAGGATTTCCAACATATTCGTTATTTTCTAACGCCGAGTCATTACTCCTGATGACATCTGCACCAGGGTGCATTTACAAATTAAAACCAGCTGACTATCAGTATTTCAGTATTTATGGGAAGAGAAAACAGTTGCATGCGTGGATAAAACAGTTTGAAAAAAACAAACAAATAATAATAACAACAATCTAATATCACCACTCAGCGAAACAAACAGACATAACTGCAGTGCGCTGTTATAATTCACTCAGATTGGGTCGTTCTTACCTCGACGTTTTCCAACACGCAGTAGGACAATACAGCCACCAGGACGGGAATTGCGGTATGCCCCATTTTCTCGCCTTCCTCTGCGCCTTTTTATTTAAATAACCAAGTTTCTAATGTCCTATTTCTATGTGTCTATGTCTCCAGCATAAGCTGCCTGGTTACATCGGCCGAGGCGGCGGACACTGCGTTCGTTCGTCAGCGGATTGACTGCGTTATCTCCTGCGTCCTCCTCCTCCTGCTCGTTCTCGCCAGCGGGCTCTCCAATGGCAGCCCGAGCTGTTATGGGGATGAAGATTGGCAGAACCAAGCCCTGTTTCTGCGGGTGTTTGTTGGAGACTTTACTCAGGGCGACCCTTCTGTGACTAGGTCAACAGTGACATCTGGTGGACACGGCTGGAGAATGCACAACTAAAAATTAAGTCGCGTGGGTTGGAGATTAAACCTTTTGCACGTCATTTGTCTGCCATCCATCCATTCATTGGCAAATGTATTTCTAGCTGAAAAAGTTAATGTCGTGAAATCCACAGCTTTCTGGCTTAATATGATTCCCGTAAGTTTTTCTTCTTCTTCTTTTAAAAGAAATCATTGGAAATAATAAAATAATAGAGATAATAAACATTTTACACATCCCTTAAAAATGCGGTGACAAGACAAGCTTTAAAGAAACCTAATCTGGATACATCGGGAATAGATTAGGCACTTATGGTAAAGGTAATTGAAAAGTCAGTATATCGATAAATTTACTCCTTTTTGACAAGAAATAAAAAGACCTGAACAATATATTTTAATGGCTAAACAACAACAGCAATGATAACAACAACCTTTGACCAGGTATTAAACATTGTTAGTTTAATGCAACATTCTAAGCCTTAATGTAATTTAATTACTTGAAAGTAGAAAATCATCATAATTAACCAATATAAAGGCTTAAAAACATCAGTTTGTGTGTAATTAACCTATAGGTTGTGTTGTACTTTGTGAATTAAGTTATTAAAAATGAATGAACTTTTCAATAATATTGTAATTTACTGTGTGTATGATCAGAGTATGAAGGACTACAAGATCACCAACACCTGGAGACAAATCTATGCCGATGACATACGACCTTATATTACCACTGGACCACAATTCACTGGTAGTAGAGGATTTATTGCTACCAGTCCATAAAGTATATGAATTTCTGCCTAAAACAAATTACAGAAAAAGTGGTGCAAGCAATTTCTCAGAAGGCAATTTTTCCTGTGAGGGCATCTATAGAGATGTCTGTAAAAACACAATCAGGCATCTGCAGCTCCTTAAAAATGGTTCTGCCAGAATTCTCATTTTACACTGGACCTTAAGTCCCTTCACCAGCTCTGTGTTGGTAAAAGCATCGCATTAAACATCCTGTTGGAGCTTACTGAACGGTCTTAGGCCTAAAAAACAGTTCAAAAACCCATTCAGGCCCCACAAGATCTCATTATTCTGTGTCCCCTCAAGGAGAATTGAACAGTAGGAGGCAGTATTTATTTATCTATCCTCCCCAGGTCTGGAACCAACTGTCTGAAAACCTTGCCAACTTAGGAAACTATTGTCTTCTTAAAATCAAGACATAAACATTTCTGCAGCACACCCAGAGAGGAGAGGTCAAAGAATGCTTCATCATTTCTAATGTGAGCTATTTTATTTGCTTAAATTATACGAGATTATGTCACATAATTTTTTTTGTTATATTTGTCTTTTTGCTGAATCAAGGTTTTTGTGTTTCTGATCCTTTGTTCTTTCTTTAAAACATATTAAATAAATGTATAATAATAGTGCTTTACAAATAAGCCATCCATCCATCCGTACATACATACAGCCATTCAAATGCTTAATGGCATCTGACTCATTTAACAAAAGATCATACAGAATACAGTTTGAATGTAAAATTGCACTGAACAGAACACAAGCAAAACATGTAATTAAGAGAAAAAAACATTTATTAAATGAAGTAGATGTGCATGAATCTAATGCAAATATGCAGATGAGCGTAAGTGCAGAAAAATACCTCTCAAACTACAATTGAACACAAAAGCAAATCATACAGAGCAAAGAGAAAATTAGAGACTTGAAAGAAAAAAGCTACTTCGAAGAGTAAATATTTCAGAATATTTTCTACTTTTCAGATCAACCACACAACTATTAGAACATGTTTCATTATTTTGAGACAAAACAATTTCTCTGAGTTTAAAGAAATAACCTTTGTTTTACACTCAGGTCGATTTGCTCTGGTTGTTTGAAGACACATGCTTCATCTTTCCAGCTTTATAAATGCAATAATGAAAGACATTGACATCAGAGCTGAGGGAGGGTCTCAGATGTAACATTACAATTTCATACAAAAGCAGCTTTTCCTGCTTTGACCTAATAATAAACTGAAGTGTTTTCAGTGGGATGCACATAAACACAATAGGGAGTAGTTGGGTCATCAGTCAGAGGAGAAATGACAAGGCTTCACTTGATCAATACACCAGACCTTGTTAACTGAGTCACAGAAAAGCAACTATTCTTAATATAAAGAGACAGCGCGCCCAGAGGACAAGTAACGTCTCAGAACTAGATGATGGGAGGGAAAACAAGGCCACATGCAAACACTGAACAGCTCACTGGGACTGATGAGTCTTTAAATTAAAGTTTGAGAGTTACACTGGAAATCTAGTCGATGCATTTGTTACTTTTAGGCTGGAATATTGTAGCTTTTTATTATCAAGACGGCCAACAGGGGAACCAAGATTTTTTTTTTTTTTTCTGTTCATTTATTCCCTGTTAAATTTGTAACAGAATTTAAAATTCGTTGTTAAACGGGACTGGCTCCTTCAAACTCACCCTGTGGTGCCCCAAGAGGAAGTAATCCATTAACATTGAACATTGAACACAGTCTGCTGATTTCTTTTGACAACCCTTGCTTTTTTACCAGTTGGGCATTATATGATTTTCTGAATCTGACTGTATTACATTAACTTTGCATAGAAATACACTGCTTTGAGTATTGGCCTGGCTTTATTGGAATTATTGAGTTAATTCTCACTACTGATCAATAAAGGCTACGATTTAAGACTTAAATAATCAGCCATCCATGCTTTATAATCAGGTTTTGGTTGCTGAACCTTCCTCCACAGTCAGCACCTCTTGCTAAAAGAGACTGTTCGGAATTTGAGGAGTTGGCTTGACTCGCGGCAGGTATTGTGGGCGGGGCAAAGGTGTGTGAGAGAAGATTTCAGGTAGTTTAATGCTCTTAGCTCTTTGACACAGGAAGAGATTTCGGTTAATCTCTGAGGGACTGCTCGTATTAATTTTTTTTTTAATTTGATTTGACTCCCCCTTTGGACGAAAGATACGGTTTTCCTGTCGGGTTTCAGTTGGGTCTGGTCTTCAAAGATGAATTCTGCCGCATATCGCGTAAGTTTGTCGCACCTGACGCAAATAATTGTTTTGTTTTTATCTTGTCGCTGTCACTGTTGCTATGAATCGCTCCCCTCACAAAGTTTTGGCGCGGTAAAGTTTGCCGGGGGGGTCTCCTGTTTAAGCTCAGCGTTTCAGACGGTGCGGACTGGTTCTTACAGTAAACACGTCTGACAGTTTTTCTCCCAGCAGTTTATTCCCCACAGCGAAACTGCAGGTTGACACCCTTGGTGTGCTTCCGGGGGCCTCACCTACCACATAGATAAATGTCATTCATTTGTCCACATTTATGTCAAAGCGTATATGAAATTTTGTCATTTACGAAACCATCTTTGAATAAAGTGTATATCTATACTTATGGAGATTGATTATTCACATTGCTCATAATATAATTGGATAAATAGGATTTGGTGTCAGATGAGGTGCGAGTTATTCTGTTTCAGTCGATGCTAATTTATTTTTATTGAATAAATTATGTTTCATCTCAGATATTTGTGTCTTCTCTCTAGTGGAATTAACTTTTTTCGATACCTCCTGGTGTTTAGTTAGCATTCTTAATACACAGGGATATATATATATATATATATATATATATATATATATATATATATATATATATATATATATATATATTATTTTGAGTGT